ACAATGCTGAATTAGACATAGTGAAAGCAAACATCCTTGATACCTGATCCCAGGAGAAAACATTCACACATTAGTCTGATATGAGTGAAGTTTTTCATGCCCTCGCCATTGTCAAGGAAGCTTCTTTGTATTCTTACTTGGCTGAGAATTTTTAGTCTTGAATTTCATCATGAATAGATGTTGAATTTTTTTTTTTTTTTAATCAACTGAGATTTTCCTGTTTTTGTCTGTTAACATGGTGAATTATACTGATTGCCTTTTGAATGTTTAAACAACCTTACATTCTTGGGATAAATTATAGTCAATTTGCTAAGGACTTTTTATGTCTCTGTTTATGACAGATATTGGTTTGTGGTTTTCATTTCAGGGTAATGCTGACCTCATAAAATGCCTTGAATGTGTTCTCTCTTCTATTTTCTGGAATAGTTTGTGTAAAATTGGTTTATTTTTTCCCTTTTAGTCCTAGAAACAATCCTCAATGTGGTTTTTCTAATATACTGATTTGGTTTTCAGCCATGTCCATCTTTTTTCTTCCTCTATTGAATTTTAAACTCTGCTTGTAATTATGACTTTTCATTTCTGATACCTCTTTCTTCCTGCTTTTCTCCATTTTTATTCAAGCCTGACTTGGCTTTATCAGTGCAGTATCATCTTAAATGGGCCCTGTTGTGGCTCTGTAGGATATGTGATGGATTGCTAACAACACTAACTGCAGGTTTGGCAGTTCAGACTTACCAACAGGGTCTCTATGAATCAGAACCAACTTGACAGCACATAAGCCTCGGAAACCCTGTACAGGGTCGCTATGAGTCGGAATCGACTCCACGGCACATAACAACAACAACAACAACAACAACAATCCTCTTAATATCACTGGTAATATTAGTTTTAAGTTGATTGACATTAATTCCTATATCCTATATTGATTGTTTTATTAGGAACTATGTGTGTCATTTGCTTGGCTTGGTTCCTGTTTTGACTTGTTCATTTCCTTATGTTGTTGTCATTAAGTGCCATCAAGTCAGTTCTGGCTCATAGTGACACTGCATAGGGTTTCTGAGGAGTGGCTGGTAAGTTTAAACTGCTGACCTTGTGGTTCAAACGACCTCACAGTCCAGTGCTTGTCCTACAGCACCACACCAGTACTCCTAGGACAAGCACATTTTTGTTGCCTGTTCATGTGTTTAGTGATATACTTGAGTAGTATATTTGCAGTGGTCCTCCCTCTGTTAAACCAAAGCAGATATCCATGGAAGTCCAAGGGCCATTTTTTTCCTAGGTTTGCTGAGAAGGCAGGGCCATGACAGTAGCGGGTGCTCGGTAACAGGAAGCTGGTTTCCTGCTCCTAGGCTTGACCAAGAAGCCTATAAGAGTTTTTGTTAGCTAAGCATTTATCCAAAAGTAAGTTAAAGCTGGGAACGAATACTGCTTTGGCAAGATTTTTAAACATACTACTCTTCAATATGTATAAGGGTGTACAGTTTTTACATCAGTGGTAGGATTAAAAATTTATATTCCTTTTCTGAGAAATAATTTGGCAGAATGTAAAAAAGGTTTTACAAATGCTCATTCCCTTTACTCTAATTTTCATCTTTCTAGAAGTCCACCTTAAAAAAATAGAAGAGATGGGATTTATATTCAGGAGTTTAATTGCAATGTTACTTATAATAGGGGAAAATTGGAAAGATTCTAAATGTCTTAAGAGGAATGTTAAATCATACAATTATGTTGTAGCTGTATAATGGATGATTTTGTAGCCAATTTTTAAGTGCTTAATGACATGAGGAAATGTTCATGATATAAAGCTGAATGCAAAAAAATCAGGGTGCAACCTTTATATACAGTGTGATTCTTCAAGAAAATTCAAATACAGTTGCAGCAGTACATTGACAGGGAATCACCGGAAAATCAATCCAGATTCAAAAGAGAATGTGAAACAAGGGATATCATTGCTGCTGCCAAGTGAATCTTGACTGAAAGCAGAGAATACACAAAAGATGTTTACCTTCATCTTATTGACTATTCAGAGGTATTGGACTGCATGTTGTTGTTGTTAGGTGGCTTCAAGTTGGTACCAACCCATAGCGACCTTATGCACAGCAGAACGAAACACTGCCCAATGCTGGGCCAACCTCTCTACTGTTGCCACGCTTAAGTCCATCGATGCCACCACTTGGCAAATTCATCTCATTGGGGGTCTTCCTTTTTTCTGACCCTCCACCCTACCAAACATGATACCCTTCTCCAGTGACTTATCCCTCCTGACGGTATGTCCGAAGTATGAGAGATGAAGTTTGGCCATCTTGACCTCCAAGGAGCACTCTGGCTGTACTTCTTCCAAAATGGATCTATTGGTTCTTTTGGCAGCCCATGGCACTTTCAATATTCTCCTCCAACACCATAACTCAAATGCATCAGTTCTTCTACGGTCTTCCTTATTCACTGTCCAGCTTTTACATGCATATGAGGTTATTGAAAATACCATGGCTTGCATGTCTTAACAAATAATGAATAACACTGAAAACAAATGGGAATTCCAGACCACTTAAATGTGCTCATGAAGAACCTTTACATGAGCAGTCATTCATACAGAACAAAGGGATACTGCATAGCTTAAAAGCAGGAAAGGTATGCATCCAAGTTGCATCCTTTCATTATACTTTTTCAATCTGTATGCTGAACAATTAATTTGGACTATATGAAGGACTCCTGGTATGGCACTGTAGGATCAGCACTGAACTGCGTACCACAAGGTTGGCAGTTCAAACCCACCAGCCACTCCTCGGTAACCATATACAGGGTTGGTATGAGTCAGAACTAACTCCAAGGCACTTAACGACAATAACAATATGAAGAACACTACAGCATTAGGATTAAAGAGAGTCATTAACAGCCTGCGATATACAGATGACACAACCTTGCTGAAGATGAAGAGAATTTGAAGCACTTACTTATGAAGATCAAACTGTAGAACTTCTGTATTGATTACACTGCACCATAAAGAAAGCAGAGATCCTCACAGCTGAGCCAATAAGCAGAGACAAGATTGAAGTTGTCTAAGAATACATTTTACTTGTATTCATAATCAACACCCATGGAAGTGGCAGTCAAGAAATCAAAGGATGCATTGCACTGGGAACATCTGCTGTAAAAGAACTCTTTAAAGTGTTAAAAGATGTCACTGTGAGAACTAAGGTACACCCGACCCTAGTCATGATATCTTCAGTCACTTCATATGCATGTGAAAACTGGACAGTAGATAAGGAAGACTGGATAAGAACTGATGCCTTTGAATTATGGTGTTGATTAAGAATATTGAATATATACCATGGACTACCAGAGAATTGGAAATGCGGTTTTTCTGTATGGTAAACACTAGACTGTAAACCATAAGGTCGGCGGTTCAAGCCCACCAGCTGCTTTGTGGGAGAAAGATGAGGCTTTCTGCTTCGGCAAACGTTTACAGCCTCAAAAATCCTACACAGGGTCACAATGAGCCAGTACCGACTTGACAGCACTAAACAACAACAACAGCCAGAAGAATGAACACATTTGTCTTAGAAGACAAATAGGACAAACTTGTCTACCTATCCTCCTTAGAAGAGGCAAGCTAGACTTTGTCTCATGAACTCTGGACATGCTGTCAGGAGGGACCAGTCCCTGGTAGACTAGATGAGCAATGAAGAAAAGGAAGTCCCTCAATGATAAGGATTGACACAGTGGGTGCCACAGTGGACTCAGACAGCAATGATTGAGGCAGTGTTTTGTTCTGCTGTGCATGGGGTCGCTGGGAATTGGAGCTGACCCAACCGCACCTACCACCACCATCCTTCTTTATTGAAAAAGGGAAAAAGAAATGTTCATACATGATGAAGAGGTTAGGAGCAAATGCCACCAGTATTATCAATGGTAGCTTTCTGAGTGATTTACTTTTTCTCTTTTAAACTAGTCTTTATTTTACATATTTTCTCCAGTGAGTCTGTGTATCAGAAAAAAAAAACAAAAAAACAGTAAATGTGAAAATGCCTCCCCAACCCTGCACTACATCAAAAAAGACCCCCTACTTTTCACAATTTGTAGCCAGGACATGGTTTGTGTTAGGACTGAATTTTCCAATTATCATAATGTGCAAATGGCCTTGGAATCCTCCAGCTTCTTCCCATTGTGTAGTGAGCGCCGGCCTTTGCCAGCACTGGCATATGAGCTCCAGTGTGGCCCATCTGCCGCTCAGGCGCGGCTTGACTGACACAGATTTATTTCATTTCTTTTCTTAATTTGGCAACATTTTCTCTCTCCTCATTATCATAGCTGGGACTCAGTACCAGTATTACTCATTTTGTTTACCAGTTTGTTATTTTCTTTTGTTCCCATTTTGTGAAGACGAAGAAGCCAACAATGGGAATTCTGTCTCCTAAAAATGCAGTGCTTGTCCTTGGGGATCTTGGGCATGTCTTGCTAAAGTGCTCTCTATTTCTGACACTTGCAAGCCATTTCAATTGTTTTGATAAGTAGAAGGCTTCTTGGTGTCATTTTCAAAGAGCTCAGTGTTCTTTTCCTTCCTCCCTTCCTCTTTCTACCCCCCCCCCCCTTAAAAATGGTTCCAAATAGAAATTATAAACATTAGCCTTGAGCTATGCTTTCTCCATCTGGTATTTGGTACCTTTTTTTTTTTGAACTGAAGCTCATGTTGTTTGTTTAATCTTCCCCAGTACTGCAGAAGCACGTGGTGAAAGACATGCTCTGCCCCAAGCACCCCACACTTAAGAAAGGATTTGTATCTAATTCGGTTTGTATTTCAAAGAGCACTGGAATAGTCAGCCAGATTGCTAAGAATTTGCTCAAGTGAAACTTCAGAACCGTTAGAACTGTCTCAGCTATCTTGAATGGATTTGTTAGGATAGGATGGCTGCTGCCTGAGATTCCTCTTTGAGCCTGACATTTGATTATTTTTTGAGAAGGCATTCTTTGTAAGACTTTGTGCTACTTTTCTCTCTCTCTAGGTTACCCTGAAGAGACTTACCCAGTTTACGACCTTTCAGGCTGCATCAGGCATAGACAAGAAACAATCCTGGTGGATTACCCTGACCCTAAAGAGCCCTCTGCTGAAGAAATGGCTGAGAGAATGGGAGCGCTAGAAGAATCAGACCATTTGGTTTGGGCAAGTCTGCCCACTGATCCCCACGCCCAGGAAGATAATCCTGGTACCTTGTGTGACCCAAAGCCAGAAACATGTTCCTGCTGCTTCCATGAAGAAGAGGATCCTGCTATCTTGGCAGAGAACGCTGGCTTTAGTGCAGACAACTATAGTGAGCAAGAGGAAACCACTAGGGAGGAGTGGCCTCAAGACTTCCGAGATGAAGGCTTGGGCGTCAGTGCTGATAAAGCACATACAGGTGCAATGTTGAGGAAGCGGACCCTCCAGAATTTAGACTGAGAACAGCCAGTTTGGAGATGTATCCATTCCTCTAGTCCCAAGGTGACCTTTCTCTCCTCTCACAGATTGCACCCTTGCCGCTGAACTTCATCCTCTGTGTTCAAATGTTAGAGCTATCTGCTCGTGGATATGAGGTATCCATCCTGGTGCTCACACACCTGCCACCTTGTAAAACACGAGATTAGTGTGAACACAAAGACTACTGTACTCTTATATTCCTGCCTTTCCTCTATCAGAGAGGTTGACCCATGAGGAATTATATTTGGTCTATCATAATTACAGATGCTTGATAAAATAGAAGGTCAGTGAAAAAGAGGAAGACCCCTCAGCGAGATAGATTGACACAGTGGCAAAAAAACAGAAACGGGCTCAAAGGTAACAATTGTGAGGATGGCGTAGGATCATGTAGTGTTTTGTTGTTGTGAATAGGGTCACTGTAAGTTGGAACTGACTCTGTAATTGTTAGGGCACCTGACAATGGTTTACTGGTAAATGAGCTTCAGCAAACAGTTAAGGACTTAAGATTGCAAGAGTAGATTTCAGACCCTAAGAGGCTTTATTCTTTGGGCCTGGAGCAGATTAGTGGGCTCCGGGAAGGAAGAGCACGTTTTGTTTGTGGAGCTGATGAGCCCACAGCAGGAAAAGATTGTTCTTTGATTGAAGTCTCTTCCTCACATCTACAGCGTTTCTAGGTGCACTGAAGCTGCTTCAAACATCCAGAGTAGCAGAAGACTCCTTCCTGCTGACTTGTGAGTAAGCCCAGAGGTTGTTTAGGGAGCTGTTTCGCTGAGACATTTCCTGGGTCTTTAGCTTTATCTCTGCTCTGCTTAACAGAGCTGCCAAACCTGGAAGCACCTGTGCACTTTCAGTCTTCCATGTTGAGAGAAGTTTTAGATGGAGATGTATGACCCTGCCCTGCAGTTAAGGTTTGAGGCTGTAGGAAGGCCCATCAAAGGGCAGTTGTCCTGCCGTGACTTACTCAGAAGACCAGGGAGCCACCAAGGGAGAGTACCTCTACCCTTAGAGTCCTTGCTTAGAAGCTATTAATATTGTGCCCTCTGGGACATTTGTCTTCACACTGCATGTACTGAAACAGAAACGAGAACTGAAAGTGTATACAAAGTACCAGCTCAACAGGGAAGGTGCAGAGAACCTGGACACCATGCACAGGGGAAGAGACCATTCCGGATATTCGGACACCTGAGCCTTTGAGAGAACAGGAGGAAAGTAAGAGGTAGATTAGTTCAGGGTGGACCCTGACCAAGTTAAAGGTCTAGTAACCTAAACTGCCATCTGTTCTTCTCGAGTCTAGATGGTACCCATGAATTCTGACAAGGATGAGGGAATTCATAGTTCACATGCAAGATCTGAGAGCTTAAAGACCTGTTCTGTTCAGAACATTCCCAATTATAAAAGGTGAAAGACTTGAAGATTAAGAAATTATGTAAAGGTAGTTTAATGGCTTTAGAGTTCCATTATGCCTGGCCTGAATAAGATGCCAGAAAAGTCTAAATCACACATAAAAGCATGTGTGGAAGACATGGGATCAGATTAAGTGTCAGCTACTACATGGCATTTCTTGTCCGGTCATTGAACTACAGAGAAATGTCACTTAAGTTTGGTCTTTGGAAAGTGTATTGTCGTCTGTCTGTGTGTGGAACATTGGATTCACATTTTAGAGTGCAGTTCAAAATGTACTGAAGGCAATCTACATGTAATACTAAAGAATAAAAATAATGTAGGTGTTCTTTACTGTTTTAATGACTTTGGTTTAGGCTATTTTCCTTCATTCACCATGAAGGGCTGACTGAGGAGAGTTCGAAGTCCCTGGTTCAAAGGCTGAAATTTCTTTTTTGCCTTAGGATATGACTCCCTAGTTAGAAATACAGACTTCTGTTTCCTTGTAGCTTCTTCGTTTATTTATTTAGCAGACATTGCTGAGTACTAGACATGGAAACAGAAGGTTTAATTCCTAGCCTCAAGTAACTTGGTCTAGCATGGATGCCTGCAGGTAAAATGGACTATGAAATAAGGTGCAGGGTCATACAGGGCTTAAGGTCATGAATTCTACAGGACGAGAAATGTGCAGCCTGATCCCATCCCTGTCCACGCAAACTGGGGGACCTTGGGTCTGCTCATTAACCCCTCTTTAAATAAAAAAATTACTATTAATCATTAAGATGAATTAGTGCATGCAAACAGTATTAATCCTATCTCACACATAATAAACACTCAATAAACAGTAGCTGCCTTTATTATATAACGCTTCAGGCTATAATTGAGATATAGACCCCAGAAACATAAAAAAGTGAGCATTTTTGCCAAAGTACATGCAAGAATACTTCACAGAGAAGGTGGGCCTTGACGCATGTGAAGAATTTCTGCAGGTAGACAAGGAAGGAAAAGGACATTGCAGGCAGTGGCACTGGACAAAGCTGTAACATATGAAAGGACACGCTGCGTTCAAACGTTTGGATGAGGCTGGACAGTGCCACACGTATTTATCATGAATGCTAGACTTTGGGGCTGGCTGGGGCGAGGTTGTGGAAAAAGTTCCTACCAGGAGACTGTAGTGGCACTGTAGGATAATTACTAGACCATAATGTCAATTTGAAACACAAGGTTGGTGATTTGAACTACCAGCAGCTTATCAGAAACCCAATGGTAGTGGTGATGGTGGTTATGTGCCATGGAGTGGAATCTGACTCATAGGAACCCTTTACGGGGTTTCCGAGACTGTAACATCTTTACGGGAGCAGAAAGCCTCATCTGTCTTCCACGGAATGGCTGGTAGGGTCGCCATGAGTCAGAATCGACTTGGAACAGAAGTACTGAGTCCCTCGTGCTGGCTCTTGGCTGGATTATGTATCAGAAATCTCCTTGAGGGCACTCCAAAGAGTTCCTGGAAAAATTCCATTATCTTTCAGTTCCATTTATCCATGAAGTATTGAAGTTCCCTCATTTATCAGAAATGCTGATACACTTTTTGATAATTACTGATTGTTGTTGTTAGGTGCCATTGAGTCGGTACCCACTCATAGCGACCTTATGCACAGCAGAAAGAAACACTGCCCGATCCTGAGCCAACCTCACTACACTGTTGCCACACTTGAGTCCATCGATGGTGTTACTTGGCCAATCCATCTCTTTAGGGGTTTTCCTCGTTTTTCTGACCCTCCACCTTACCAAACATGATATCCTTCTCCAGCGGCTGGTCCCTCCTGACAATATGTCCAAAGTATGAAAGA